CTCTTCCTGTCACGGATGACGTCGTCCAGCGGCCTGCTGACGCAGTCACCAGGCAGTCAGTTCCTCGGAGTGATCCGTTGTCAGGCCCAGGAAGCTCGTTTTCCGCGCTGCAGCCAGAGTGAGCTTGTTGAGAAGTAAATCTGATGGTGTCCCCGAGCCGCCCCCAGCCCCTCCCCAGCCCACGCTGCTGGGGACGCTTCACTGCCTCCCAGAGCCTTGAAGACCAGCGTGAAGACCCGCCGGGGCTGTCCCTTCCCAGGAGTACTGCGCACCATGGCCTTCCTTCTGCCCTTTCTAACACAGCCGGCCCCGGCCCTTCGGCCACCGGGCGTGTGTCCGTCCTGGCCACTCAGGTGGGTCCTCGTTACACCCACACTGCTGCTCCCAATGTGTCGCATTTGAACTTTACATTTATTTGTGTGGGTGTGAGTAAGGTCCGGTTCTCTACCAGCCTGGAGCGCAGGAGGGCAGTCACTGTTATTTTTTAATGGGGACTGTAATTCTTTTTTTCTTTTTGAGGCAAGGTCTCCCTGTGCAGTTCAGGCTGGTCTCAAACTCACAACAATCCTGCCTCAGCCTCCCGAGTGCTGGGATTACAGGTGTGCGCCACCACGCCCGGCTAGGGGGACTGTAATTCTGACATGTAGGGCAGCTTCTAGCACATAGCACATGCTCCAAGAGAGTACTGGAAGCATAAGCGCTTAGGCACAAGTCCACACGGGTGCTGTAGGCGAGGCTGGGTGTGGGTAGTTCAGCCGAGACTCGCGGTGCGGAGCTGCGCTCTGCTGCAGCAGCAGCACGAAGCCCTAGCGGGGACGCCTCCTCCTCCGTGTGCGGTTGCCGCTCTTCAGAGGAACCTACCAAGTTATTATTTGCTTTTATGAGAAATAGCGACTGTTGCCACCACTCCCGAAAGCAAGCAAGAACTGCTAGCGCCGGTGCTGAGTAAGAAGAGTGAGCGAGCTCTTACGCTTGCCCTTTCCTGGGGGTGCTACAGGTGCATTCATGAATTGGAGGTGGACCCGGGCTGTGGTGGGGCTCGTGCTGGGGTGCACGTACATGTTCTCACTGAAGCCTCTCAGCACACGGAACTCCAGTTTTTTTGTACGGGGGAGGAGACAGAGCTTTGAGACGCAGAGATTGAAGGAGTTCGCCAGGGTCACGCGGGCGGCCGCGCGGACTGAGTCCGAGCCACGTGCGTGTGCAGGTTCCGCAGCAGCGCCTCCCCTCACCCGCTGCGGCCGCGGCCGCGCAGAAACGCAGGCAGAGCCGTACCAGGCAGAATGCGCTGGTCCCCTTTGGTCTCGTGCTTGGAGCTTGAGTTAAGACTTTAATCAGCTTTTAATCGCCTGCCTTTGGCTTCTTCCCCCTCTGACACGTTCCTTTCTGACGCGTTTCTAAGATGCGGATTGATCCTCTGAGCCATGGTCGTGTGAGTCCCCTGCCCGGCTTCGCTCTGCTCGCAGGAACGCGGTCTGGGGGGCATCTCAGCGGCGGTGCACTTGCCCAGCGTGCACCAGGCCCTGGGTGGAGTCTCTAGAACCACAAAATGGCACGAAAGCCCCTCAGCCCCGCGCACACAGCCGGTGCCCCGTGCCCCGGCTCTGCCCTCATCCCCATCCTGCTCCGCCTCCACACAGGACTTCGGCGGGGTCTCCCAGCAGGCCAAGCGCTGGCCTCTGCCCTTCCCGGACGCGCTTCCCCCTCCTCACAGCCTGTCCAGCCACGGGAAGCAGGTCAAGCTGAAGGGCAAATGGCATAGAGAGTGCCAATGTTACTTTGTGTGTGTGAGTGTGTGGTAGTGGGGATTGAACCCAGGGCTTCCCAACTGAGGGCCCTTTTTTAAAATTCTATTTTATTTTGAGACAGTCCGGCTAAATTTTCTAGGCTGTATTTGAAGTTGTGATGCTCCTGCCTCAGCCTCTCAAAGTGCTGGGATTATAGCTATGTACACCACACTTGGCTGACTATGACTGTTATTTTAAAAATAATTCCACATATTATTAGATTGTAATACTCAGGTAAGCCTGGAGAAAAGGTTAATTGGGGAGGTCCCAGCCTTTAGTACACATGTGATTGATACGGCTTCAGTAGCAAATTCACCTTCAGTTCCATGTAGCAGAGAAGATTTAGCGCTACCCCGGTGCCTTTTGTCTTCAGCAATTCCAAGTCTACCAGAAGGCCTGTGCGGCAGTTTCCTCAATGTGTAACAAATGCTACTTTGTACATTCATCTCTTCGTGTTTAATTATAAGGATTTGAATTTGCAGCACCAATTAATCAGTAATTAGATAGTACTGTACCAGAAGAAATTAAACGGAGATAAAAACAAAAACACAGCTCAGCACAGGGCGCTATCATCTGTATCATTTCATGCAGTATGATTAAAATACTCCCTGCGAAATGTAGGTTAACTGGGTCGTTAGCCATGCATTCCTCTGATGTCGTTGTTGACCTCCAATACCAATGGGAAACTTAATCCAGATACAGAAACACGCTGATTATGCTAACGTTTATTCTTCTCTCGTTCTTCATTGAAAATCTGTGTCACGATACTCAGTAGTAATTTAGAAATGCAGTGGTAGATTTGGCAATGCAAAATAAATGCATATTTTATAATGATGCATTCTCTGTTGATCTTCATATTTTTTAAGAAACACATAAACCAACTTTTGAATTATCAGTTGGAGCTCTAAAATAAGACATTCATCTTAGTTGTGGAGAAAGAAAGCAAAAAAAGATACAAGGCAAATAAAGGAGTGGGGGAAAGGTCCCTACAGAGCAAGGGAAAGTCCCCTTGGGCGTCAGAGGAGGGTGCAGGGGACTGCTCCCTGTGAGTCCGGCCATTTCCCCGGGCCAGCCGCATGGGCCTCTTAGGCCGGTCCATAAGCCTCTGGTCAGTTAGAGAAAAAGAAAACCGATAGTTGGAAAAAGAAGTCGGCAGTTCCTGTGATTTGGTTTGCGAGAAGGGACAGCAGGGCAGCCCACATGCGATCCACACCGCAGGAGCCTTGGGGCCCAGACAGTGTCTGTTTGGTGAGCCCCTCCCGTCCAGGCCCCCAGCTTAGCCTTCCCTCTGTGATCAGGACTGTGGGGAAACTGAGGCAGGAAAGCATCCAGAATTGCCTTGAGGCGCTTTGCATCCTTTCCTTGGTGCTGTTCTAAGAGGTTTTGGCTCTGAGGAAGCTAGCGTCACCGCTACTCCCACATCCGGGGCTTTTGTAAAGGGCGACTACTGCAGCATCGTCAGGTGGTGTCCTGAGTGGACGAGCAGGGTTGTGTGTGAAACTGTCTTAAGAACCTCCACGGAGAGAATTTCGTTGTGCAGTCTCAGGCGTATGTCTAATTGCCTGTCTCTGAAATAAGTAATTTGTCTTTTGATGGAGCAGTCTGCTACGAAATAGCGTAAGGAGATTTGAGAAGAATTATAGAGGAAAATGTCAAGGGTTTCGGTCCTTCGGCGTCTGGGATGGAAAGAGCAGCCTTTGCTGAGTAACTTGGAACCTGGTGGACACTGGAGAGCCCAGCTGTAGTAATTCTTCGTAGCTTTATGATGAAATTCACTAACCTCCCCAAATTGGGAACCCTTTCATTACATTTTTTTCCCAGTTTAACAATCTCTTTCCCCCACTGTGTGACAAAGCAGTACTGTGAAGTTGCTGACTTTAAGAGTTCATTGATTTTGCAAATCATAGAGCGCCCCTGTGAGTGCAAGCCACACTGTCGCAGGGACCACTCGTTGTGCACGTGGGTTACTAACCCTCTGTTGCGCTTCAGCTTTTCCCTGGTTGGAAAACGTCGTCTCTCAGGACGTGGTACGATTTACTTGATATCAGCGTACTGCATAAATTTTTGCCTCTCAGATTTAGCTTGTTAATGGAAACAAGTTTAGCCAAGCTGATTTCAGCCACCATGATCGTGATCTTACGGACCTTCCTCCTTCAGGGTTACCTGGCTAAAATGGATGAGCCGTCACCCTCTTCACTGCGACGAGGGACTTCTGTGGCTTTCACTTTAGCGGGCTGGTAACTCTTCCTGTGGCGTGCTCTGTCCAGTAAGGTGCAGAAAAGAAAACACAAAAGCAAGGCTGGAGTTTAAACACCCGTACTAACACTTACCTGTAGTCTCTCTGGTCTCGGTAAATGGCTCAGCCATCGCTAAAGCCCAGGACACCGTGAGCCGTCTGAGTCTCTGCTTCTCACTCACCTCCCCACGCACTGCGTCTGCCAGTCCTTCCGAGTCCCTTCCCACTGCCCTGCCCTGCTCTGTTTCCCGAACTCCAAGCAGTTATCTCCTGACTGGCTGCCCTTTGCCCTTCTGCTTTCCCTAAGAGCCGTTCTCCGGATGGCAGTCAGGTACTGTGTTATAAAGGTCTGTCGTACTCCGTCACTAGGCCGGCTGACAGCCTTCGGTTACTTTCCATTCCACGTAGAATAAAATGGAAACGCCTTCCCCGGCCACCCCATATGTCCAGCCCTGCGCCCCTCTTTTTCGCGTCATTCCCTCCTCAGGAATCGCGCACACGTTCCCGCTGCCCTCCCTCTGTGTGGGCGGCTGCTGCTGGCAGCGTGCACTTCCCACCCTGCGGACCAGCTCTCCTGCCCTCACGTTCACCCATCACCTCCTCAGAAAGACACTTCCCGCCCCCTGCGGCGCAGCCCGCCCACAGCCGCGGCATGTCCGCCCGTTTAGGGCCTTCGTCACAAGCCTCATCTGCGTTTTAGCACGAGTCCCCTGTGCCCAGGACAGAGTCTTTCCCGTTAACACACGCAGTAGTGGTTAAGCGAGCAGTGAACGAGAGAACCCTTTTCCTGATATGTGTGGCTTTGGCGGACCAGCTTACCCTCAGCACTCCAGGTTCCTGATCTGCACAGCCTCAGAACGTGAGATCCCGACGGGGTGCGTCTCAAAGAAGATGGGTGTGGCGCAGGGAACCTTACCTGGCCCGAGGGAGAAAGGATTCAGTGAGCATGAGTAACAGTGCTGCTTCCTCTTTTACAGAAAATCTCCGGAGGAGTTAGACATGGACAAGGTGACCGCGGCAATGGTACTAACCAGCTTGTCGACCAGCCCGCTGGTTCGAAGCCCTCCCGTGCGGCCACATGGTAAATGCAGGGGCTGGGTGTGGGACGGGCCCTGACACCAAGAGCACAGCCTCTGCCTGGGTTTGAGGAGCCTCGTTCCTGCCACCCTAGCAGTTGACCTTGAAGCCGGGGGAAGTGTGGAAGAAATGGAGACACCGAGGCCATCGGCCTCCTCCAGATCTCTCCAGGGCACCCCCTGCGTCCCCTCTGCCTGTCCATTCAGTTCACATCCGCTGAGTTCTGTCAGTTGTTCTCTGTCCTTCCAAACCATCTTTGCAGCATTGGTGCTCCTTTTCCCTAGTAAATGGAGACTGAGCCGATGAAGTTATTTTCCCTAGCATTTTTACTGTTTGTCTGGAGAGGTAGTTAGATCAAAGAACTCATGAAAGACTAAAACTTTAAAAAGAATTAGCCCACTGCCGGAGATATAGCTCAGCGGCACAGCACCTGCCTGGCAAGCACAAGGTCCTGAGTTCAATTTCCAGTACCAAAAAGAAGCATTAGCTCAGACTCCTTAATCAAGCAGAAGTATTATTTAGTCCACTCATTAGCTTCATACGTATATTTATCAGGTACCAGCTAGATGACTTGAAGGCAACACTGGAAAACAAGGTCCATAACCCAGGGAGTACGCGGTCTGTGTCGTAGTCACCCGCAGCCTGAGACACAGTGCCTGACACCCCCAGCTTGGAGGCGGGGAGGTCACCGGGGCTCACATTCGTGGTGCACAGCCGCCGGCCTAAGGCAGGAAGGCGTGGTGAAGGCTCGGGGAGGAAGGCTGCTCCTGTCATGGTGGCCAGGAAGCAGAGAGGGAAGCGGGTGCGGAGGGAGGTGCGCCCCTCTGGTCACTCCCCCAGCAGCCCACCTCCAGCCAGGCCCCACCTGCTAGCGGCAGTTAGCTCTGCGCTTGTGTGTGGATCCATCCTCTGCCGAGTGCAGCACCCCCGGGGTCTGCGCACTGTCCAGAAGCGTCACGCCTGCACACCACGGCCTCTGGAGGACATTCTAGATCTAAACCATAGCGTTCTGTTTGGGAGAAAGACCCCAGCCATGGTCATGTTACTAACTAGCGCTTGCTGAGCGCTTGCTGAGCACTTGCTGTTTGTCAAGTACTGTGCTTACTTTATCTTAAGTAATTCCCCCGACAGCTTGGTAAGACGTCATCACCACATGCAGATGATTAAACTGAGGTGCATCGGGGGTTAATTGTTTATAAGTGGCAGAGCTGAAGTTCCAGGCCGGATATTTCTGATTCCATATCTGCCCTCGCCATTGCGATACAACACTGCTTCATGTAATTCACAGTGATAGATCAGGAGAGCAGGCGGTGGGAGATGATGGAGAGAGATAAAGCCGGTGCTTTACCGTGATGGGCCGTGTATTCCTGGCTGGCAGTCGGACTTCGTTCTGAGACTGTGGGAGCCATTGATCAGGTAGCAGAGGTTAGCGCAGTATCAGGAGCACAGGCAGAACCAACCAGAACTGCATGGGTGGCCTGAACCCTGATGGTCACTGTGGGGCTATGCAGGTACAGAGAGAAAGAGGAAGATGGCAGAAGCACCAGCGTTCACTGATGGACAGAGAGGGTGAAGGAGGACAGGGCATGTCAAGGATAAGTTCCCGTACTGCAGAACAGGGGCAGAGAGATGGATATACTGGTGAATGTTGGGGTGCTGCGTGAGAGTTACCAGAAATGGAAACCTTTTCTCTGACACCAGAATAGTCAATCATGCTCAGCTGAGCTGTGTTCACACTCAGTTCGGATGAAAGTATGAAGTATTAGAATAAATGGGCGCAATATCCAGTGAGTCCTCGTCCAAACCTGCTCCAACCCCATCAGAAGTGGAAAGAACGGTCAAGATGCTGGGAGCGGAAGCCAGAGTCGGTGATGCCCCCCGGGGCACCGCTCCTCTGCCCCTCCCCCAGCCTGGAGCCGGTCAGCTTCCTTGCAGTGAGGCAGCGGCCCCTGTGCAGTGCCCAACCTCTCTTCTGCCAACCGCTTGGCCAGGGGGTGCCCCGCTCTACCTTTCTCAGCTTGGCAGCACCGCTAACAGGGGTACAGTAAAGCCAAAACATAGTCTAGGAAAAAGGTGAATGTGTTGGAGGGGAAAAAAGATACATTTTAAGTTAAGTTAATCCTTATTTTTACCACTGGATTATTTCTTTTTTAATTGAAAACCATTCTAATGTTCCTTTGTATTAAAGGTTAGAATTAAAATAAAACTTTCAACACAAACTTTTGTTAGCATAGTAATAGAGTTATTCAGTGTTTATTTGTGGTTTAAAAAACTACTCAACGAATAACCCCAAATTGTCTGATGCTTCATTTAGTGCAACAGGAAGCAAATTTTTAAATAGAGAAATCAGTATATGACAGTGAAGCATTCACATTTTTAGAAGTAAAATTTGTTCTCCAGAATGACTGTACATCCCTCTCTGTGCCTGACAAGTGTTAAGCCGTCAGGAGGTGGGTCCGCAGAGGGCAGGCCCCGCGGCACCTGTCTGCGAGCTTGGCGACCACCTGCATAAGATGGGCAGATGCTGCACCCTATTTTATTTTATTTTATTTTATTTTAATTTTTTGGTTTTTTTGGTTTTTCTCCGGTACCAGGAATCAAACTCATGACCTTGCGCTTACCAGGCAAGCACTGTGCCACTGAGCTAAATCTCCAGCCCCAGGCACTGCACCCTAAAACTGCTACAAGTCAGTCGTAACTTTTTTCTGAAAAATCCATTTCTATATCACTTTGTCCTTCAGATTAAATAGTGTTCTGGAAAATATCATCCACAAATTGCTACGCAAACTCACTTTTAACATTGCTGTGAAGTGAGGTAACCGCACTGTAATAATGCGGTCAACAGGGTAAATTCATTTCCCCCGTACGAAGTGATCACCCGTGTAGCAGCACACATTTGGCATGACTGCACGGCCGCATGCGGAGGTTTGTCTGTAAGCCTCCCGGGCCGCCCCGTGCGGTGTTCACACGAGGGAGCAGCTCCCCTGCCTTCCGGCCATCTGTAAGGCCTCCCTGGAGGTCCTGTGGTACTGGAGGGTGATCTCTTGTTTCTCAGAGGCGGCTGTACTCCTCTGGGCGGGGGAGCGGCCGCTGATCTGGCTCTGTTGATGCGGGTAAGGTGTGCATAAATAGCCGCTTGGTTCTGACAGGGCCTTGCTGTGAGGAGATGGTCTCCTGATTCGGTTTAACACCTCACACCTTTAAACTTTTGTTTTGCGTAGTTGAGGAGTGTGCTGGAAGCCTGTAATTAGGGAAGGTGGTTAGAAAATTTCCCCACCAATGCTCGTCTCCACTTCATTATTAATTACACAGACATTGATAGTATTTTTTTAATGAGGCATTTTGGGACTTTTTTTTCTTCCTTGTAGTTAGAATTCTGTTTTAATATATCCCAAATGCACATAAATATGGACGAGAAATTATCCAGAAGGAAAGTCGAATTTACACAAATGCTAATTAAATGTGGGCATCTTGAAAGATACAGCGAATCTTCAGTAATTAAAAGATACTCCCCTCCCCCGCAGACATTCTAGCTGGGCAAAAGTCCCTCCGCATTCGCAAACATTTCCCATCGTGTTTTCTATCACAAGCACAAAGGTAAACCAATCTTGGCAGTAATTATTGGCAATAAATTCCTAAGTGATCCCAGCTTTGCCAGAGCGAATAGAGGACGCATCACAGGCTCCCCATGCACTGGGGTGAGGGCCGGGGACTCCGCAGGCCACTTACGAGAGCCCGCAGGACGTTCACCCTCCTGCGCCTCGGGTCCTGTGGGTGGCAGGGTGGGCGGTCGCCCTTGCTCTGGAGGAGGTGGCCGTGTGGGAAGGAGCGTGCCAGCTGAGAAACACTCACAGGTTGGGGTGCATAGTTGATATAAGCAGCTCGGAAAGTGGCTTTAGATAACTGTCCGGAAAGTGGCATTTCTCTTAGGGTCGTGAACCCTAGCTTCTTATGCACATACCCCAAAAGTCCACTGCTGCAAGTGGCTCCTCTTCTGAAAAGCTGAGGCTGGGCTTGGGAGGGACGACACTCGGGGACCAAGTCGCTGGGGAGCAGGGTGCACACAGGGGCATCCGCTCGGAGGCCCTGCAGCCGGGAAAGCGGCGCTCGCCGCCTGAGCGAGAGGTGGCCAGGGCTGGGGCCGCATCTTCGCCCGGGAGCGCGGGCAGAGCGGCCTTAGACGGTCAGAGCGGCCTTAGACGTCAGAGCGGCCTTAGACGGTCAGAGCAGCCTTAGACGTCAGAGCGGCCTTAGACGTCAGAGCGGCCTTAGTTGTCAGAGCGGCCTTAGACTTCAGAGTGGCCTTAGACGTCAGAGCAGCCGTAGACAGACAGTCAGAGCGGCCTTAGACGTCAGAGCGGCCTTAGTCGTCAGAGCGGCCTTAGTCGTCAGAGCGGCCTTAGACGTCAGAGCGGCCTTAGGCGGGCAGAGTGGCCTTAGACGTCAGAGCGGCCTTAGACCTCAGAGCGGCCTTAGGTGGGCAGAGTGGCCGTAGACAGACAGTCAGAGCGGCCTTAGACGTCAGAGCGGCCTTAGACGTCAGAGCGGCCTTAGTCGTCAGAGCGGCCTTAGACGTCAGAGCGGCCTTAGATGGGCAGAGCGGCCTTAGACGGGCAGAGTGGCCTTAGACAGATGGGCAGAGCAGCCTTAGCCGTCAGGGCCGGGCAGGGCCGGCGGGAGGCAGGCCACGCAGCTGACGCTTCTGTCCCACAGACAGCCTCAGCGGGTCCTGGAAGGAGGCGGGCTGCGTGCCGTCCAGCTCGAGCAGCAGCGGCTACTGGAGCTGGAGCGCGCCCAGCGACCAGTCCAACCCGTCCACGCCGTCGCCGCCGCTGTCGGCCGACAGCTTCAAGCCGCTCCGCAGCCCCGCGCAGCCGCCGCCGGACGACGGCATCGACGAGGCGGACGCGGGCAGCCTGCTCTTCGACGAGCCCATCCCGCGGAAGCGCAAGGTGAGTGCGGCCCGACGGGGCGGGCAGCAGGAGCCATCTGGTTAGAGGCACAGCACAGTGAAAATATGGGCGCGTGCCAGCGCCAGCCCCGCACACGTCCGTCCGCGGTCCCAGACGCCCGAGGCCTTCCCGGCAGACCTGCCCTGGTGACCCTCAGCGCAGCGCCCTTGTCTCCTTCCTGCCAGCTCTGCACCGCTGCTGGGAGGGACACTGTGCGCCTCGTCCTTATACCGCTGGGAGGTACACGTGACAGCGCGCATAAACACACGTGCATGCTTACCTACAGAAAATCAGACACTGCAGAGAAGACTGAATTGGTCGACTTTAAAATTCCCTGATTACACCGTACTTAGTCCCCACAGCGGTTCTGTGTGGGAAGTGTGCCCTGCCTTTAACCGGCCCCGCCCGCCCAGATTTTCCTGAACCTGAAGCTCAAGTTTTCATTTTCTTCAGGTACTTTATTATCCTCCCTTGCACTTTGTGAAGAGATTTCTATCTCCTGTCATAAAACAAAACTACCACTAAATCTAGAGGAGAATTGGCGTTTTAAATCATCGCGCAAATATGAAACTAGATCATACATTGGCTTCTAAGTTTTGTATCGGAAGCACTGCCATTCATGGCTGCTCACCCAAACCCACAGCAAAGCCGTGCGGGCTGCAGGGCAACCCTTCTCCTCCCCTGGTTTGCTTCAGAGAGGAAGACGGGCACGGCGCTGGGCCAGCCTCTCCCCTCTGCCTCCCTGAGCGTCGCTCAGGTGGGCAGCCGTGGAGGGGGCACGGCGTCCTTGGGTACATATGTGTCAACAACAGCCAGTCTGTTTCTGCCTGGAGAAAATGGTGTTAGTGCCGCGTCCCAAAGGCAGCTGACAAGCTGCTGTTTCCCACCAGTCAGTCCGTCAGGCAGGGCTGGCGTTGCTCTGATGTCCTGTGGGCCCCGGGGCCCCTGGACCTGCCTGATCAGTCAGGAAGGACACCGGCCCCCTTGGGTGTGTGCCTGCCTGGACCTGCCTGGACCTGCCTGACCGGTCAGGAAGGACGCTGGCCCCACGTGGGTGTGTGCCTGCAGCAGGCCGGCACCTGGGCCTGGAGGCTTGTCCGCTGCTTCCGGCTGCCCGGCTTTCTCTCGTGTGGTGTGAGTGGGTAGTCCTGGCTCTCCCCAGCCGGCCTGGCAGTGTGGGCGGCCACGCCGCATGGCGAAGCACCAGTGCTTCCGAGGTGGGGTCCCTGACGCGTGGCATGACTCGGGGCCGTGGAGCCAAAGCGCATAGCTTTGCATTGCAGTTAGGTCGCGTTGGTCAGGCTCATACTGAAGGTCTTCAGGATTCAGAAAGTGAGGGAATAAGTTACCAAAGGAAAAGGAAAAAAGCTTCCTACAAGTGACCTCAGGTAGCCGCCTCTTCACGACTTGCATTTCCCCAGGGGGCAGCAGTCGGGTGAGGCACACAGCCACTGATCCGTATCGCACAGATCTTATGCACGTTGTCTTTGAACCAACCATTAAGTTGGTTCTTTGAACTTAAAAGTATGTTGAATAATGGCAATAAGAAAAAAGTAGGACTGCTGCTGTTCATTTTTATATATGTCTAGTAAGCCAATCCTTACTGATCACCTACCAGGCAAAATGGGTAATGCCCTGAGAACAAGGAATAGCCCCTTTCCTTAAGTGATGAAATTGGGGTGGTAGAGATTGGTGTAGAAAGAAGAATCATAATTGTAATGGATACATGTTGTCTCCAAGATCGGGTAGAACACGGTAACTTAATGTAGTTACTTCAGAGATTTAAAATCATGCCTTAAAAGATTTGCAAGCGTTAGTTTGCCTGCACTAGAGAATATTTTCTAGCTGGTGGAACTTTCTGAGTTCATGTTCCTTTCATATCCATTCTCTTAGATGCGTGGCACCCATCTGAAACCAGGTTAATTGTAATGGTGGCATGTCATATTGAGACCTTTCTAGATCGTGTTCCTCTAAACTGCAAATCTTAATCCACTTTTGGGCTGTGAATCAATTTAATGAACAGCACTATTTAATTAGTTGGACAGAATAGAATGCACTGCCCTTAAGGGTAAGTATTGTCTCTTGATATTTGCATTTCCGTTCTATATTTATGTCAAAGTGCATTCCATGCAAATTGTGTTTCTTATGGAGGCTTATCGTCAGAAGGTTTGGAAGCCCTGTGTTCTAGGGATATAATACAATACATGATAAAGTAAGGTGCCCTGATCAGAAATTTAAAAATCCACATTCTAAACTCAGGTCTGCTACCCTCAGGACTTAAGAAGATCATGTTGTAGTGGTGGACACCTGTAATTGCAGCACTCTGGGAAACTGAGGCAGCAGGGTTGCAAGTTTGAGGTCAGCCTGGGCACTTAGCAACTTAGTGAGACCCTATGTAAAAATTTTTAAATGAAAAAGGAAAAACAGAACCAAAAAGAGCTGGGGGTGGAGTACAATTTGAAGGTCCTGGTTCAATCCCCAGCTCGGAAAGGGAGAGAAGACAGGAGAGGGGAGGGAGAGGATGATCTCCCCTCTTGGATCATCAGCCTCTTCTTCTGTAAAACAGGGAAGCAGGTGTTCCGCACCTCTCAGGACAATCATGAAGATTAAACTTGGTCGTATGTACTAGAAGGTGACTGCATTTTAACAGATGTTGTGGAACTTCTAAACAAAATGGATGGAAGCACTCCCCGTGTCTGAGTGTGACTCCTGGTTATGGGACCTGCCTAATCTCTTCTACCTGTTCCCCCAAACAAGTGCTCACTACCACATCTTCTGGAGATCCTTGTTCCACTTGTGCGAAGAGGTCAAGAGAGTGAGCTGTGTCTTGTGAACAAGGCATTATGTGTGATGTGGGCAGTGAGGAGCAGCTGCTTCCTAATAACCACTGTACTTGAATTTACAGGGTAAACACTTTCAAATGCAGTATTTCACTGCATCGTCCCAGACCCGTGGGACACCCTTCCCTGTTTTCCAGAGGAGCTTATGGGAATTGTCTGAGGTTGGGTAGCTTGTAATGTGGCACGGACAATGCTGACTTAGCCAAGATAACGAAGATGAAACTTTTGAAGCAAACTGATTCAGAGTCCACGCTTCCCTCTGCTCACAGAGGAGGATGGTCAGACACAGCTACACAGCATCGCGTGGAGAGCTGGGCGCAGGGTGCAGAAAGCTCAGTAAAAAAATTGACAGGATAGAGAGAAACTGGGCTTCCTGCTCGGGAGCTGAAGTGCAGAAAGCCTCTGCCCCTCACAAGACAGGCCTGCAGCCCGGGCAGTGAACATGTCCTGGCTCCGCGGCCGCGCAGCCCCGTGTGTCAAGGCCGGTTCTTGTCCGCTGTGGCAGAGTCTTTCCGTTGTGATTCAGGGGATGACGGAACTTCGGTGCTCAGAGAAACCTCAGCTGGAGCGGGGCGGGAGGTGCAGTTCCTGTGATGACCACAAGGTGATGCCGTGGCCCGAAACACAGCTGCTCTCGGCGGCTCGGAGAGCTCAGACGCTGGGAGAGACCGGGAGCTCACCGCGGACTCCCCCCGACGGCACTGTGCTGCTGAGGAACGACCCACGCACCCTTCTCCGAGCCGGGCGCCTGATTCTGTGAGCTTCCGGCTCTGTGCACCGTGAAATCCGCAGGCCCGGCCGGTATTTCGTGACCTTGAGCAGGTCAGCCGACTCTCGGTCCCGGTTTCCTTATGGGCGCGCTGCAGAGCCGCAGCCGTGTGGCGGGGGCTCTGCGAGGGTCAGGAGGGGGACATGGGAGGGCCGTGGGCATCGGCCCCTGATGGCGTGCGCCTCCCGCGATGGAGTGGGAAGCCCGCGGTCCCGGCCCGCACTGACGGGTAATTCAGGGCCGCCCTGGGGTCCCGCAGGGTTGGTCTCCCCCCACAGAGCACGGGGGCAGCAGTCTTGGGGGCAGCGGGGTATACACGGACCCCGACCCCGCATTTCAGAGCAGCAGCAGCACCCGCCTTCCCGGGCCTCGCCGCTTCCCAGGCGCCGTGGCGTGAACGGGCTCCCTGTGTGCTGGGCGCGTGTCCAGTCGGCCCCAAGCGCGGGTTAACGTACAGCACTTTGGTCACAGCCGCACGGCGCAAACAGCCGGCCCACCGCTTGCTGCGCTGTGCATTTTCAGTCCCGGGGAACCAAAAGGCGTGCATCACTTTGGACTGTGAATGACTGCTGCAAACAGAGGGCAGAAAGCATGCTGCCAGTCTCTGCACCAGCTGACTCCTAACCCACTAATTTTGAGCAGAGTGCCTCCTGTGGGGACCGCTGCTCCAGAAATAACCAGCCTCAAGCTGCTGGGAGGGCGGAGCTCGGGAGGGCAGCTGCGGGTCAACGCGGATTTCTCTGGGGTGACAGCATCCTCCGCCAGGGCAGGATGGAGAAGACACAGCCAACCAAGGGGGAGACCGACGCTCTATAGTGAGCAGACCCTGGAACAACCAGCCATGCAGTACAGAGGGTCGGAGCGGCGGAGCTTCAAGAACTTCGGGTGACCTCTAGCCCAGTCTCAATCTTTCCATGTTGAAGGACCACTCAGATTCATCTGGGAACGAACCCGCAAGAAGAGATGCTTATCTAGAACCAGTGGATCAGAAAGAAGTACGGAATATGGGAGTTCCTGTTATTCAGGGATCCATTTGTTATTACAGAAATCATTTTAAATCAGTCTTCCTTAGGCATCATTTTCACAAAATAAATGAACCTATTTTTAGCATACAGTTCAGTGAGTTTTGACCGAAGTCTCTGCCGGAGTAACCACCACTCTCTGTACCTCTTGGCAGTCACGTATGCCTCCAGCCATCAGCTGATCTGACTTCTGTCCCTACAGGTTAATGTTGCCAGTTGAAGAACTTCAAGTAAATGCAGTCATGCAGCGTATATGCTTGGGGTACAGTATACCAAGTGTTGGCGACGGAATTCTCATTCATTGCTGGTGGAAATGTAAAATGGTATAGCTACTTTGTAAAACACTTGGCAGTTCCTTACAGAGTTAAG